GGTTCTGTGCCTGTAGCTCAGTGGTTAGGACACCAGCCACACACACCAGGGCTGGCAGGTTCGAACCTGACCAGGCCTGCTAAACAACAATGACAACTACAACCAAAAAATAGCCAGATGTTGTGGCAGACTCCTGTAGTCCCAGCTATTTGGGAGGTTAAGGCAAGAGAATTGCTTAAGCCCAAGAGTTTGAGGTTGCTGTGAGCTGTGATGCCATGATACTCTACCAAGGGTGACATAGTGAGACTGTCTCAAAAAAAAAAAAAAAGGCCTGTGGCTCAAGTGGCTAAGGCACTAGCCACATACACCTAAGGTGGCGGGTTCGAATCCAGCCTGGGCCCACCAAACAACAGTGATGGCTGCAAACAAACAAACAAACAAAAATAGCCGGGCATTGCGGCGGGCGCCTGTGGTCCCAGCTACTTGGGAGGCTGAGGCAGGAGACTCGCTTGAGCCCAGGAGTTGGAAGTTGCTGTGAGCTGTGATGCCACAGCACTCTACCCAGGGCGATAGCTTGAGGCTCTGTCTCAAAAAAAAAAAAAAAAAGTAAAAGGAAATAAGAGATTGCACCAAAAGAAAGCAAGTGCATGATCATATTTACACATTTTTATAAAACTATTAATACATAGATGTGTTTAAAGATATACAGTGAAAGTAATTTTTGAAAGTGGCCAAGGATCTCCACCTTACCCCATCCAATGGTCAATTCTCAGTCTTCACCCTACTTAACCTCACTGAATCTCTTGAAGGCATTTGACAAAATTAATTTATCCCCCTCTTGGAACACTGTCCCCACTTGGCTTGCATGTTGCCACACTCTCCTAGTTTTCTTATTCCTATTTGAATGTTCCTTTGGGGTCTTTTTCAGTGGATTCTCCTCTAAATAGAAGGATGTCCCTGGGCACTCTCTCTGCATTTATCTTCTCTTCTGACACTTACTCCCTGCTTGTTCTCATCTAGTCCATGGCTTTAAGTGAACTCCATATGCTGATTTATATCTCTTCCAGATTTTATATCACTAATTCTGATCTCTCCCATCAGGTATAGACACTTATGTCCTATTTCTCCTTCAACAGTTACTAGGCATCTCAGAACTAACATAATCAAAACAGAGCTCTTAATTTCCCACCTGGAAATGACAAGATCCTTTACACAACCACTTAAGTTGATGTTCAGGGAGTCATCATTAACTCTTTTTCTCTCGCACCAGACATCTAATCTATCAGCAACTCCTTCTGGCTCCTCAAAATGTGTTCCCAGTTCAACCCCCACTGCTACCACTTTGGCCAGGCCACCAGCATCCCTCCCTTAAACTACCCAAATATCCTCCTAATAAGGGTCTATACTTCCACTCTTGCCTCCTTTGGTCTACACAGCAGCTAGTAATCATTCAAATATAAATTAGGACATGTTGACATGCCTCTCAATACTCTCTAATGACTTTTTGACTAGCCAGTTTCCTAGTCAGTGTCAATCTCCCACCTCCTTCTTGAGAAAAACAATGTACAGAGCTATAGCCTATATTTTCCAGATTCTCTTGCATTTAGGGAGGTCATGTGATCGTGTTCTAACCAATGAGACACAGGAGAGATTGTTGGATATGGATTTTAAGAAGGCCACTGTTTTCCTGATAAAAGGCAAGGCTATTATGCCATATATCCTTGGACCTATACTCTTTTCTGTTTCTGCCTTGAAAGCAAATACCCACAGGCAGGAAAGCATGTCAAAGATGTCAGGACAGAAAAGGAGAAGGGATTTTGATCCCTGAGCAGGTGCACCAGTCATCAAATGCCCATTCTTGGATTCTTTGTTATATGAGTAAAAAATAAACCCCTTAGCCTGGCTAAGGTGCCAGCCACATACACCTAAGGTGGCAGGTTAGAATCCAGCCCAGGCCCGCCAAACAACAATGATGGCTGCAACCAAAAAATAGCCGGGTGTTGTGGCAGGCACCTGTGATCCCAGCTACTTGGG